AGCTCCTAGCTGTGCCAAGATTCACTGGGCTGGCTCTTGCTTGGGGAGGAAGTGTCAGTTGTCTTAATGAATTAGGTCAATATCAAGTCCAAACCACTTAGCTGAGACTGAGAGGACCTGACATGATAGTTCCTTCATTAAACTCTTTGAGTCTCAGATGGGGGAGGCTTTGACCTTTTTTTGTTTCTCCTTTAACACTGCACTGCCACTTCCCTTTTTAATTTACTATCTTAATTGCAAAATTTTTATGAGTGTGTTTTTTCTTATTCCTTCACAGTCACTCCAGAGGGTGGGTGACTGAGCTTGTGTGAGATCCTACTTATTGAGGCAATTTTCCAGTCCTTGTTTCCCTTTCTTCTTTTACTCATTGCCTTGTCCATGTCAGACTTGACCCCAGTTCTATCAAAGTGTAGGAAAAAAGTAAGGAAATCAAATTCAGATGTATCTCTTAAGCTATTTAGTATCTGTTCTGATGAAAATGTAGAGAGGAGTCTTATATTCATCATCTGAAAGGAAATTTGTCTACTGATCCAGTTAATCCTTTCATGATCCATGGGGCATATAATGCCCACATACATTTTCTGCCTCTGGAGTTTAGTGGGAAACTCATATCCCACTCTTAGTGCTTGCTGCCATCTGGTGGTGGCCTGTATAACTGTGTGAATCTGAAGAACCAGCCTTCATCCCACCAACCCCAGTCACCCCTCAGAACTTAGGTGTCCCACTAATTGTATAAAAAATCCATTTACCTCAAAAAATTTTTTTTTTGTTTCGTTCAAAATGCTAAAATTCAAAACAGTGAAAACCTATAGTTTCAACAAAAAATTTAAAGCAGAAAATAATTCAGTCTTGAAAGGGTTAATCAAGGACACATTAGATGTTTGCCGAATTTCTTCTTTCTGCCAGGCACTGTGGCAGGAAATATGGATACAGAAAGAAAGTCCTGCCTCTAAAGGAGATCATGGGGGAAGGAAGTAGCTACCAATAACTAGAATGTGAAGACAGTGGTAGTTCACTGGTGAAACTCTCACCTTCTATGCAGGAGACCTGGTTTCAATGGTTTCAGTTTCTAGCCAGTGTAGCTCATGCACCACCCTTCTGTCATTGGAGGCTTGCATGTTGCTGAGATGCTGAGCAAGTTTCAGTAGAGCTTCCAGACTAAGATGGACTAGGAAGAAAGGCCAAGTAAGTGGTCTGTAAGTGAAGACCTTTATGAATCACTGTTAACACTCTGATCCCATGGTTCAGGGTTTGTCGTAAGTTGAGGCTGACTTGGTGGCAACCAACAACAATACAGTGAGCTAGGTACTAATGGTGGTATAGTCCTGGGGATTATAGGGCCACAAAGATAGGGCTAATTGTATCAGAAGGGGTTAAGGAAGGCTTCTCAGAGAAGGGAACATTTAAGAAGACCTTTGATTCTTAGGGGGAAAGAGCACTCTACACAGAAGTAATACCATCTGCAGAGGCACAGAGGCATGTTTCACTGGGCATTTCCAGGAAACTTCAAGTGGTTGGGACAGCATCCAGTTTAAGATGTGGATGGGCAAGTGGTGGGAGATGAGGCTGAAAAGATGGGAAAGGCCCAGTTTGATTTAACCTTGTATGCCTGGCTAAGACCTTTGTTGTTTTGGCAGTTAGTAGCTATTAAAGGCTGGAAATGACATGACCAGATTTACTTTTTAGAATGGTCACTTTGGTAGCCATGATTGATTAGGGAGCAGAGAGTTGGAATAGGGAAACAAGGTAGAAGAGAATCCAGGGATAGTTACTGAAAACCGGAATTAAGGTAGTGACACTGGGGATAGAGAAGAAGAGATTGAAGAACAATGTTGAAGATAGAATGGACAGAATTGACACTGGAGTGAAGAAATGAGAATAGATTAGAGAATTCTGTGGTCCCTGAATCAGGCAACCAGGTAAATAATGATTCCGTTCACTAAAGTCAGAATGCAGAGAACAGAATGGATTTGGTGAGAAAGAGTGAAAGTATCTATTCTAGACAAGCTACATTTGGAGTGTCCCCGGGAAAGCAGAAGAGGTAAGTCTGTGAATGAGTAGGATTCCCTTGGTTTTAAATAGCTATTTTTATTCCACTTGGCATGTAATTAAGAACCTAATACACTCTTGCAAAGCAGGTGGCATGAGCACCATTATTTATGAATTGTATGGTGATGTGTCCAAAGGGCTTCACTATGCATGGATAAAACATCAGGCTTAATTTGAAAAGTCAGAGTTCTTTTACAGAAATACTCGTTTCCAGCAAGCCTCCTGGGGCTTCCGGGTACCTGCCCAGGCATTGCTTAGGTGACCTACACAGAACTGATTCACTTGCCTGGGGAGGAGGACACCATCTGGCTGGCATCGAAGCTGCCGCCTTAATCCGCCCTCTCAGATATTCCTCACCTCTGTACGTGACCAGGGCCATGAGCACTCCCTCCTCCCACAGTTGGTTCTCTCCTCATCTTTGTTTGTTTCTTCCGTTTCCTAGGTGACCCCATTTAAGCGAATATGCAGGGAAGTGAGAATTTGTAATGGTGGCAGGTAATGAGAGAAAGCTGATGACAGTGAAGCATATTTCTGTAGCCAGAGTGAGTCAAGGATTCATTTTTCCCAAGTGAGTTCACACCATTTGCTGAGGCAGTGGCAGAGCTGTGCACTGAGCCTTCCATTGATTAATGCACCTGCTGACCTCAGGTGAACTGAGCTAGGGAGGCACAACACTAGAGCTAGCGGTAGGATGTCTCCAGGGAGACCTGGGAGACTAGAAGTCTGTGGGATGGCCTCCTGGGTTCTTGATCCTTAATGACTTACTGCAATGCTCTGTTAGTGGAAGAGCTAAGTGGTACTGGCACCAGAAATTTATTAGCTTCCGTCTATTAATGACTTTCAATTAAATTGTCATCTTTCAGTAGCCCTTCTTTGTGAATGCAGAGTTAAGACAGGTTCAGGATTTCCTTGAAGAGAGCTGTTTTCATAATTGGAGATTCAATTCAAATTGTGTGCTCTGGTTAGAGTAGAAGGTACTGGACAGCTGCACCTGGGAGTGCCAGGAGTCTGCATCTGGAACCTTCAGTGCGTGTACCCATTGATGTCCCTCATTACTCCTGCAGCTAAAGAATTCACACTTGAGTTTCCTTATGACTCAAGCTTGTGGCTGTGCGGGCTTGTGTGAGTTAATGGACCTTAGATCCACAAATCATAGTCCTCAGAAAACTGAAACCTTCAAAACGTGGTGACCACTGCCCATGCTGTGTCAAGGGTGGTCACTGTAAGTTTCTGCTTTAGAAGTCCACACTGCTTCAATGACCACAGCTGGAGCTAGTCACAGAGATGGTCCTTTCAGTTGGGGCTAAGGTAGATCTGGAGTTTGTATCAACATAGACAGCAGTCTGCAGCCTCTATAATGGTCTATAGTCTCAAGGACTGAGGTTGGAAGCCTGGCTATACGCTTCCCTTTCTCATTCCACAGGCTCCTCTCAGATTGTTCGCTACTCTCTATGGTGCAGGATCCTTGCATTTTTTTTTCCCCCACTGAAGACTGAGCAAAAGATTTCTTTTGAAAAATCCAGTTTATACAAAACTATTGTAAGTGAGGCAGTTCTCCATATAGGAGGCAGCATAGAATCAGACTTAGTGAATTTAAATCCCAGCTCCATCCATACTCTGGCTTGTCTACCAGGCTTCAGCAGATTTTTTCTGTAAAACAAAACAAAACAAAAAAGCCACTGCCTTCGAGGAGTTGATTCCAACTCATAGCTACCTGTAGGACAGAGTAGAACTGCCCCTAGGGTTTTCAAACCTGTAAATCTTTACAGAAGCAGACTGCTACATCTTTCTCCCATGGGAGCTCCTGGTGGGTTCAAACCACTGACCTTTCAGTTAGAAGCCAGGCACTTTAACCACTGTGCCACCAGAAATATTTTAGGTTTTATAGACCATATGTCTCTCACAACAACTCAATTCTGCCTTTGAAGTACAAAAACAACCGTAGACAGTACAGAAATGAATGGGCGTGTCTGTGTTCCATTAAAACTTTATTTAAAAAATAGGCAGTGGGCAGGATTACACACATGGGCCATAGTTTGCTGAGATCCTTCTTGTGTAAAATGGAATCATACCTGCTTCACAGAGTTGTGAAAAAATAAACAAGATTGCATACAGGGACATGTATGGTGCTTGAGAAAGGATGCACACTTCTCAAGACTTCCTGGACTTTCATGATTTTTTAGAAAGCTATGGAGAAATGCAGAACAATGATTAGCAGTAGAATGAAAAGCAGGGGAGGCTATAGGTTTAATGTTCCTTTTGGAATCTGGCATTATAGCAATTTAGGGCAGCTACAGTGAATTGATGAATCAATCAAAAAGCATTTTTGAGGTCTTATTCTGGATTTAACAATGTGAACATGTCAGTGGGTATAAAAGAAGTGGAAGGCATACTCTGTTCTTACAGTTTAGATAGAGAGGCAAAACAAGATGTGAAGCGATTAGGGAACAGTTACAACTCAGGCCTATCTGGAATGACTGCTGGTCCGTGGGAGTTCAGGGGAGCTGGATATAGGTGAGCTGTGGAGGTCTAGGTTACCTGTGGGAGGTGGAAATAGAACTGAATCTGGAGGGATTAGTGGGGTTTCAATAAGGAACATATGGCTTTGCCTTTTGCTTTTGGTCTGGACTTTGGTGTAGAGTCCTCATTTTGCACTGGGTCAGAGTGAAGACTGTCAGGAACAAGCACTTTGTAATGAAGGCTTAGAAATCTTTTCAGGTCCAGTGTTCCCAGAATGAGGATTTTCCTAGATGTCTTGATCATGGGCATCTGTTTCTTACCATCCCAGAATTTTATCCATAGAATCTAAGAGAAAAAGAGAGGGCCCATTTGGGAAGAGTAGTTTTTTTGAGGAAGTCCACACACTGGTAGTGAGTGCCTGAAGTCACTCAACCTGTCTGTTACTGCTTTTTCTTCCTTCCTCATCCTTCATTTCACCTCTTGCCTTCCAGGTTGGACTTGGCCCAGTCACTTGGACTGACTCAGCTGCAGGTGAAGACGTGGTATCAGAATCGCAGGATGAAATGGAAGAAAATGGTAAGAAAGAAGAGAGTTGGTCTAACCCCTGCCCAGTGTGATGGGGAAATTCTTATTAACTGGGATTGCTCAGAAGACAGAAAAGACCAGTGGGTGATTTGCACTCTAGAGCCTAGAAGGCCTTTAAGATGCTGGCTAGGAGTGAAGTTATTTGAAGTATGAGATAAGCCATTTCTCCTGACTTGGTTTTTCACAGTTTCCGTAAAAGAAAAAGCCCACAAACTTCTCAGTTGCTAGTTTTAACCCCACCTGCAAGCCTTTTTCAGAAAACTTTGTCTCCCTTTCACCAATAGCTAAAAATAGAATTAATTACTCTGTAATGACATATAGGGCACATTGTTGTTTTAGCTGTGCATCTTCTATTGCAGTGATTCTCAAACTTTAGGAGGCATCTGAATAACATGAATAGTAATCTGAAATGCAAAACTGTAGGTCCCATCCCAGGATTCTGATTCAGAAAGACTGTGACAGCCCTGGGATTATGGATGCTAACAAGCAGCTATTGTTGTTGTTAGGTGCCATCAAGTTGGCTCTGACTCATAGTGACCCTGTGTACAACAGAACGAAACACAGCCAGGTCCTGTGCCAGCCTCCCAATCCTTGCAGTACCTGAGCCCATCATTGTAACCCCCGTGCCAATCTATCTTGTTGACAGCCTTCCCCTTTTTTGTTGACCCTGCACTTTACCAAGCATGATATCCTTCTCCAGGGAATGGTCCCTTCAGGCAACGTGACCAATGTAGGTGAGATGAAGTCTGGCCATTTTCACTTCCAGGAAGCATTCTGGATGCACTTCTTCCAGGACAGATTTGTTAGTTCTTTTGGCAATCCACGGTACTTTCTGTATTCTTCACCAACACCACAACTCAAAAGCATTAACTCTTCTTTGGTCTTCCTTACTCGTTGTCCAGCTCTCACATGTATATGAGGTGATTGAAAATACCATGGTTTGGGTTAGGCACACCTTAGTCTTCAAAGAGACATCTTTGCTCTTCAGCACTTTAATGCAAGTGGTATAATGACTACAGTTTCCATAATATTACTCTGTTGTTGTTGTTATGTGCCGTCGAGTTGGATCCGACTCATAGTGACCCTTCCTTGGGTTTCTGAGGTGGTATCACTACGGATGTAGATTGCCAAACCTTCCTTCCAAGGAGTGGCTGGTGGGTTTGAACTGCCAGCCTTCTGGTTAGCAGTCAAGTAGTGCCTAGCTAATGAATATCTTTGATTTTTAAATGTAATTGTTAGAATAAGCATCTCTACATTTTAGGGACTCAGAACCCCATAAAAGTGTATCTTTTTTTTTTTTTTTTTTTTTTAAAAAAAAACACTTTCAAATCCAAATTTTCCAAAGTAATTGTTTCATTTGCCAGTTTTGTAAACCACAAAGCAATGGGTTAAGTCAAGAGACAAGATGAGGGCAGTGGTGAGTGGAGAAGAAACCTGCTGTATTATTTAGAGACCAGGTGCTTATATGTGAGCCTTTCTTAGAACCTCATGGGATCTTACTGGTTCCTTTCCTCTTATATGGACCAGGCATTCCTTGCTTTCCTGGAGGACATCCTGATTTGCTAATCCATCTGCCATCTGCCATGTTTCCTGGTGTTTCAAGGGCCTGGAGTATGATACTTTTTACCTTAATGAAATAACAAGCCTCTCCTCCCATCACTTTTTAGAGGAAAAAAAGTTAATGAATAAACATTTTTTCAATTTTGTGTTTATGTCCAATAATTTCTTAAAAAAACTTTTAGTTCTTCCTATCCTTTCTGTTGACTGCTAACAATGAGGAAAAAAAAAAAAAAGAGAGAAATTGAAACTGAGTATTAATTGGAAATACTAGAAAAAAGTCCACAAGCAACATTTATTATGTATCCCAGAAAGGCGTCCTGGGAAAATCTCCTCATTTCTTCTGCCAGGACCTGACCCCAAGATTCAAGGATTTTCAAATGGAGGCAGATTTGGCTCAGGAAGTGCTCAGGGAATGAGGCAGAGATGCCAGTGGCATGTACAAGAACACATGTATTGCATGAATCAACACACACACTCACACATATATTTAAGTGTCTCTTATGAACCAAGCCCTGTCAAAGGTACTGGGACATAAGACATAAAGTATTATCCCAGCCTTCATGTAATTTATGATCTGGATGGAGAAACAGGACACAGGAAGCAGCTAAGGAACACGTTATAATTAAGTGCTAGGTTGTTGAGCATAGATTTATAAGCCCATAAAAATTAGGAGGAGAGAGAATGGGTAAGATTACAAGGAGAAGTTGAAATGGAAGGATGAATGGAATTCAGTGAAGTACATGGTCATTCCCAAAACTCTCGTAGGTCAAGACATACAGGAAACTTTCTGTGGAAACCTCTGGGGAGACTGATCTCTAAAGGACTAGATTTGGGACTTAGAAGCATGACTGAGGTTACCATGCTTGCCCCTGCCTGGCTGATTTTGGACTAGTCCCTTCACTGCTTTCTTTGCATGTTCTACCTCACACCTCCTTCCTCATCAGCCATCATCATCAAAATCAGTGTCTCCTGATTGGCAGCAGCATTGTTGTAACTGATTATCAGCAGTTTTTTTCATGAGTTCAGTGATTAAGGCACTGACAGTCTGCCATCCCCGCCAGAGCCATCCAGTGTGTATTGAATGTCACATGTGCCTTTGTCTCTGTCTCTAATGTCATTTGTTTTTTCAGCAGCCACTGTTTCACCGACAGTGCTGTGGGCCAGGTAGTAATGGTTACCCCTGCTGTATAAAACAAAATGGTGTAACTCAGCACATTTGCCTCAGAGGAAATTCAGTAGACCAACCAGACTCAGGCTCCTATATTCCTATACACAGCTCACTTTAGCAGTAATTTATGGAGTACTTACTTTTGCCAGGCAGTGGAGATACAAAGAGTATTTCCATTAATAAAAAGGTATTCAGTCAAGTGGGGGAGCTGTTACATTAGTATATCCAGTATGATTTGGGCACAGTTGAAAGACTTAGAGAATGTGTGATCAGTATGTTGTTGTTGTTGTTGTTATGTGCTGTTGAGTCGGACCCGACTCATAGCGACCCCTCCTTGGGTTTCTGAGGCAGTATCACTACGGAAGTAGATTGTCCCATCTTCCTTCTGAGGAGT